TAATAATATATAAATTTTATTTATTTATTAAAAATAAATATATATCATTTGATACATTGAAGAAAATTATAATATGCGTTAATTTGAATAGATAAATAATTGTATAATTTTAAAATATTATATTTATATATATTTATATATATATATATATATATATTAAAATTATTAAATTTTTAGTGAGAAACTAAAATCGTATAATTATAATACTTGAAAGACTAAAGTTATTCAATTAAAAATTGAAGGACTAAAATTGCACAATTGCAATTCTTTAAGAACTAAAATTACCCAATTAAAACCTTAAAGATCAAAATTGTATAATTGCAATACTTGAAGGATCAAAACTACAATTAAAAAAAAAAAATAACAATGCTAGCTTTATTTAAGAGCTTTTAATACAAAGCATATATTTTTATTGAAAAAAATTATCCAAATGTATATCATTAAGAATGGGCAATGATGAGACCTCTAAACCCAGAAGAGAAAAAAACAAAGTAACTGCAGAGAGTCGACGAATATAAAACATGTTACTAATACACTAATAAATAGTACATGAAACACAGCCTATTTCTCAATAAAATTAACAATAGAGGTAACAAAACGGTAACATTCGGGAGCTTTCCCGTGATGAAATTATGATGTCAAACTGCAGGAGAGACTGAACATCCAAAATTCCAATCCAAAGGCAATTAAAAAATGGCGTGGATGAATGGTAGGACTTCATTTACGACTCCTTGCTTCCTCCTTTTCCTTCTCCCGCTTCTTGTAAAGCCTCTCAAGAACACGCTTGGCTTCACATTGTGGAAAATTCGACAAATCATAGTAATGTGGGGCTATATCCACTAACCTGTCCAATATTAATTTATCATAAAGTTAAGTACATCTCAACAACATCAACAAAAGAACCACACGGGTCCCCAAAGATAAATTTGACAGTTCGCCCAGCAACTATTCTCCCATCATTCAAAAGTTATTTATTGATGACAGGAATATCATTTCAATCACAACCAGATGTTTCTGTAATTTATAATAGAAAACTAACTATTTAATTTATTAGCTTCAGCGTTCTTTTTCTCAACGGGTTTCCCATTATATTGTAGATGAAATGCATTAGCGTGTCACCATTTCAAAGATGTCAATCTTTGCTATGAAAGCAATCCAGATGCTACTCAAAAATAAAAATCTTACCATTCCCCACGTATATCTGTCACAGTTCGAATAAAATTCCGACTGGTAAGAACATATTCATTATATATTACCCACTCCGGCTTATGGTCCAGGCAATTTGACGGATGCAAATGCACCACCTACTCAGAAAACAAACAAGAATCATTGATATAAATATTCCTCCAGCTCTTTCAGTATTGCAAAATGAAAAACAGAAAGATAAATGCAAACAGCAACTCTTCTTAAAAAACCTGGTTGTCTTTCACTGTCAAGTAATGTCCTGATCGCTCCAGGTGAGCCACCTGCATGAAATATCCTGCCAGCATTGCCTTTCTTATGTTGACATAGTACTCACGGCTATTGAAGTCAGTGCTGCATAACTTCAGGTTAAACCGAGCCATGATACGCACTAGTTGTTGTCTAACATTATCAGCTGATTTCAACGCCCTATGATTAACGAAGTTATCGTAGCACCAAGAAGAATCCTCATCTAAAAAGCCATTCATATACAGTTAATAAATTTAAACATCAGAAAATATAAATAGCAAGAATTTATTAATAAAATAAAAAAAGAGCCAGCAGAAATAAGTACTTACTATTTTGCTTGTAGGCATGGTATACATTCAAGAGTGTGAGATGATCTCCATCAATGTGTCCAAACCTAGCTTTTGCTTCATCCGCTGCTTTTTGTGCCTCCCTAGGCCGGACAAAGCAATTGGGTACTAAAGAAAGAAATGATTATCACAGAGGAGGCCCACGGAAGGTCAGCAGATGCATAGAGGCGAGACCACACCATTATCTTCATGAGATTGAGAGAATACTGAGAAACTGCAACTATCTGCATCAGCATTTACTTAGAATCCTATGGTGCATGCCAACCGGGGGCATGGAACCCAGAGAAGACAGTTGCTGATGACTACTACCTAACAGGACATGTTCCATTAACCGCATTCATGTGCAACCCAGCAACATGTGTAAGCAGTCAAACATCCCCATCACATGCACAATATTGCCTCTGTGCACATGTACAAATGCAGGGCATCCACTTCAAAATGAAGCCCAGCAAACCTAAATCCCTTAACTTTATGGTTGGACTCTAGACATACACAAACGCAATTATATAAAAGAAGAATACCTGATAGCATGGCAGAAATGGAAAGAATCTCATTTGAACAGTTGAATTCTGGACTGACAACAAGCATCTTTGACATCTGAGGGTCCAGCGGAAATTCACTCATAATCTCACCCAGCTTTGTTAAGTTACCATCATCATCCAGTGCACCCAAGTAATTCAACACTTCCAACGCGCGCATTAAGGTCTCAGGGGCAGGAGGGTCCATGAAATCAAAATGGACTAAATCATCTATACCCAGTTTCTTTAAGATAAGAACTGTGTTGGCAAGATTAGATCTCAAAATTTCAGGATAGGTCTGCGGCTGCAGATCATTATTGAAACTTTTTTCAGTATAAAGTCTAAAACATTTCCCTGGTTGTGTTCTTCCAGCACGTCCAGATCTCTGGTGTGCACTAGCCTTTGATATTGGAGACACCAACAATGACTCAACACGGACTCGAGGGTTATAAACCTTCTGCTTAGCAAATCCAGGGTCAATAACATAGACTATACCATCAATTGTCAAGGAAGTTTCTGCTATGTTTGTTGATACCACAATCTTCCTTCCAGGAGGCCCTCCCTCCTTTAGTGGAGGTGGCGCTGGC